AGGTGTTGCACGTTTCGCGCTACGTGTTGAAATTGTGGCTTTTGTCGGCGAAAGGTGATTATAAAAGGATCTAGGTGGGATGAAGGTGTTGGCGGTTGGTGAAATCGGAAGATCGGGATTAGAGGACGTTAAGCGTCCGCGAGAACGTAGATGAGAAAATTAGGACGCTAGAAAAGCAATCTGCGGGAACACCGACGAATTGTGTTTGCTTAGGAAATTCGTTTTGTTGTTAGAAGGATCAGAATATTGAAATATTAGGAGATTAGAAAATTAGGCTGAAGGGGAATTTTTGTTCTTCGTGGCGTTTTAAAGCGTAATCGAGTAATTTAAATACTTGGAAGATTCAGGAGTTGGGAAATTAGAAATTTGGGAAACTAATTCAAAGAAATATCAACGGAAAGAGAATATTTAATATTTTGGTACTTGAACTGCAGATGTTTGCACGATTGCAATCGAGAAACTAAGACATTTGGACGGTCGATGTACTAGAAAATTATAGAAATTAGAAAATTAGTATTGATGAATGTAGAATAGTATTTGTTTAACAATGATTTCCATTCTTCGTGGAATTTGTGAAATTGCGATAAAAGAGAACTGAAATATTGGGACAATTAATCCTAATTAGGAAGCTGAGAAAATAATATAAAAAATAAAACATCATTTGTATGGGAAATCTTTGTTCATGGCGATATTCGTTAAATCATAACGAAGAGAGGGATATGTTATGCAAATTGAGTGGGTGGAGTTTGCTTGACCCTATTTAGGCAACCTAATTAAATGTGCAATTCAGTTTATAATGGTAGGTTGGAATAACTGTTATGAAACTGCAAATGGTCAGATCGATGTGAAGAATAGATAATAAAGTGGTGAACGGGGTTTATTATAGTCAGGTGCGAAATTACTACGATCGATACACGCATTTTCGGTGCATACGTTCCATTTAAGCATAACGACTGCAACACGCGTAGAACAAGCAATAAAATGCATACGTTACATGCTTCAATAAATAATACCATTAATAAAATTGAACGATATTAAAATCCATCTATATTTATGTATACATATTTGCAGTTTCTTAAATCACCGAACCATATTTCCATATATTCAACCAATAATTATCACGTTCCTTTATAAATCAATATAACATATTTTTAAGATTATTAACTATATGATAATACCTACCTCGATACGTGATTTCATTAAAATCACATACATCGAATAACAACGATACGATTCGTCTATTAAAAGAAATAACTAAAAAAGGGAACCCGCAATTTAGACGATAAAATCTAGAAGTATATATATATAGACTTGGATGAAAAGAGCCTCATCACCGAATTTGATAGAACTTGTTTCCAACTCCTTATTGATACGTCTAAATGATAGGAAAAATAAGAAGAAAGAGCAAGCAGTCGACCTCAAGCGATCTTAAAAAAAAAAAAGCAAAAAGACACGATAAAAAGAAACGTAATTTTTCTACAAATCGAACGAAGAAAAATACGCGTGTCACGACTGAGTGAGGTCGCGTCATCGCGTTACCAGTCGTCGCGATCGACTTCCGGAAGTCGCGTCATTTCGTCCGATGAAACGGTCGATGTCGGACAGTTTTAAGCTAGGCGGGAGTCTTGAATAGCAAGCGAAGGGATAAAGAGACCTCGATAGCGGGCGTAGACCTCGCGAGCGGTTCTGTTGTAGTCATAGAACAACGGCCCTGAGCCTTTGTGAAGCGTTGCGAAACATAGCGAGCCAGGCCGCCGCTGGTGCACGCTCGTATCTATTATTACGTGATTTTTTTTCTCTTTTCCTCCCTCTCTTGGGGGCCTCAGGGCCGCGGCGAGTGTAGCCTTCCATCGGGATCAGGTGTCCGGTTAGCGCGCGCCTACTCGCCTTAGCGGATCGATTAAAATGGTATTAAATGGGCGACGGGCACACAACGATCTCTCGTACAACTAGCCGAGATGAATAGAGCCACTTGGGGCTCGCTGTTGATCAACGGAGTATGCAAGTACATTTAGGCAAAGAGAGGATATCGAACAGGTGACTTATTGTTCGTATTGTGGTCGTTGACTGGAGTTTGGATGGCGAATTGGCAGCCAGAGGAGAAGATCGAATTCTGGCTTTGAATGTGCAAGAATTAAACAGAATAAAATGGTTGATCTTATAGAAAATTCTTCCGAAAGTCGGTTTCAAGTGTCGACACGAATACAAAGTTTGATACGAGTGATCGTTTTTAAACGCTTTAAGTATCCACTTAAGTCCATTAAGTGGAGTAACTTTTGGATAAGACGTGTGACTATGTACGGTTTGTTACAATATTTGCTATGAGTATTTTGGGATACCATTTAAAGCATCAAGTAAATGTTAAATGTATATTTATTTAAAATGTTTATTACGAAAAATCGTATAGAATAGAGGAAATGTGTTTTCGTGTTATACCTCAATTGCATGAACGGTCTGCATTAACGAAATCTCACGACCCATGATCCATATCGATAACCAAATACGTACATGTTCCCATAGTACCTAGGAAATTAATAGTCGTTGTTTATTATATTTAATTACAGGGAATATTTTTAAATAGAATATTTTACTCGTCGTATTAAGAAACGTATATAAACGATATACTTGTGCTCGTTTTTGGTCATTGTTCAATGGAATAAAAAAATGTCACGAATTTATCATCGAATTGCGATTGAAATGATTTCCATTATTGAGAAGTGGATCGTTTCTTGTACACGATGTTAACAAGCAATGGTAGTTAAAAGAGGGAAGTAGAGTAGCAACGTGTTGAACGCGACCGTCGCTCAACAGGACTAGATGCTTGGCTCCTGACAGATAAATGCTTTTATGTAATGCTGCCAGGCCTCTAGTCTGGATAAAGAGAAGTAAAACCATTGCGCAATGACCCCGTTGCGCGTTTCGGCCAGGCCGTGTTGGGAAATCCATCGTGTCGTTAAAAATGTGGGCCATCGGCACATTCTTGTTCCACGAAAACAAGCCGCGATGCAACACCCAATACGACCTATATTGCCATCATAGTTCGCCACTTTCATAATCAAATCTCACCCTGTTTCGTCTCCACGAAACTCAATCTTATTTCAAACGAAAAGATTTTTCAGAAGCATTTGTACAATTTTGCAAGAGATATAAAACTTTATAGAACTACCAAATTTTTCTTCAACGTTAATTGACGATTATCGAATACTCGTGAATTTCTAAAATTTCGATAAAAGACACTAAACTTCCGTGTCCATTATATTACGTTTTGTAAAGCACTTTACCTGACAATTATCAAAAATTCCTATATTCTGAAATTTTGCATCGAATCTTACGGTAAAAGTTATGAACGTCCGAATCGCAAAACTTTCTTTCCCTTTGTAAGGAAATAATGCGTGCGCAACACTTCTTCTTTTCTATTTCTTTTATTAAATTACGTATGATCCAACAACAACATTATTCAACAACAAAAAATGTTGTGCATCTATTATTTCCTTCTAAAACGAAAGAAACTTTTGGATCAATCCATTATCCTCGTTGATAATTATCCAATATTCTCAAAGCTCAGAAATTTTGCATTCACTCCTACAGCAGGAGGTTGTAAACTTCTTTGTCCGCTATATCACAATTTCGTAAAGCATTTTAATTAATAATTATCCAATATTCCTAAATACGAGGCATTTCATATCCGTCAAAAAGAGATGTAACTTAAAGTTGAATTATAATTACAGAAACAGCTGAGGCGACGTTAAGGAAATCGAAATTGGCGCTAAATTATCGGAACGCGCGCCGCGCCGCGCCGCGATCGCAATGATTTTTTTCGCGAAAAGTCGGTGAACTTGGGGAATCACCGAGTGGCGCGCACGGGGCAAACGAAACGCGAACGTTCGCAGCGCCATCGGGTAGCGAATTGACCAAGTTGGTTGACAGGTACGCATCGGTTCGTGGACACTAGGTGGCAGGTAGGCTGGCCGTGGTAGCGGGCAATGTCAATGTCAATGAGCACGTGAGCCCCGCTCGAGGAAAAATCGATACGCTTCAGTGTCAAAGCTTTTCCCGGCGAAAGAGAGGTAGCGAGAACAAACCCGGGAATAACCGAAGCATAGTTTATGACGCAATGCAATTTGTACTTAGATCCTTCTCTCGACTCTTCGTATACTCATAGACACTTAGGTGTTACAGCTTCGTCTAAAAAGTGTCGTAACTTATTCATTTACGAAAGAAAGCGTGATTGTTGATCGTAGTTGATGTTATTTTAACGTAGTTGACGTTACTTCAAAGAAAGTGCCGTAGTATTTGATGATATAGAACGAGGATGAGCGATAAGGTTCGTTACTAAAGAGAGAACTGATTCCACAGTTGCTGATTAAAGAGACGTCTCGAACAAAGGATCCCCTTTAAGAAACTTATTCCGAGAAGATTTCCGGAAATCACCGTACAAATTGTCCATGTAACCATCACACAGTATGTTGACCAACGAAAACATTACTATACAGATATACGGAAACGTATCTAATCCAAGACGTTTCTTCAACAGATATGCTGATATCCTGATTACGTAGCACGAAATATCTGAAACCTGCGCGGAGCGTAATCCCACTCCGAGCAAAAATAACTTCATCGTACAGCATGCAATCATCTTGAACTATCCTGTCCCATCACGTAACCCCTACCCTATCACATCTGTCACCTAACTCCCCCTAGCACCGAAAAACATACGCAATCAGGCGCAACCACAAAACGATTCAATTCAAACATATCGTGTTTCACAGGTGATCTGTCACACGAGTAAATCTCATCCTCGAATCACCATACGTAACCTTCGATCCCCCACCCCCACCCCCATTGTCAATAAACAAACAACAAGCCATAACAAAGAACCGGAACAACGAAGCGTCACAACACGACGAACGTAACGACGAATATGAATCACAGCCGAATTCAAGTTCATGTTTCCTGTGGAAAACACAGAGAGAAAGGAGAAAATAAAGGGAGGAACGAACCTTTGACGCGTTGATGACGACTCTCGGGATTCTGCGTCTCGTTGACCGCGATGGTGGCCTCGCACACCTCTATGGGATAGAGAGGGCCGCC